AGTCACGATAAAAATCATACACGTGTACTCTGAATAGACGTCAATGACTATGGTAAAACTTAGACTCTATTTTAGCCGGCAGGAATGATTGAAATGTCCGAAAAATGACGCCAAAATACACCTTAAAAGTCCCATTTTATTTTCTTAAATCCCATTTTATTTTTTTAATCCAAGGGTGAATTTACGGCAGAATCTGGTCCCTGAAATAAGGGACATGTGAGCTTGTATCTAACCGGATACATTGCACTGGGTCGTGGAGATAGTTTGCTAAACTTCCATGTATCTTTTGTCCAATGGGTACCTGTACTTCAAACATTCGCAAGTTTTCCTAGGTAGTGCGAGACAGCTTTGTCTTTTGACCTAATTTTGTGCTGACCTCTTCTCCGCGTCTTGATGTTTTGTTTTCCTTGTCATAATACTCACTGATTGATGACTTTGTTTTGATTTTGAGTTGTTTAGCGTACAACTCGGCCACGACCTTTGCTTTTACCGTGAAACATGGGGAAGTTTACGTCAATTGACGGACATTTCATTTTTTTAAAAACTAACGAAGCACACTGTCTATCATCTCCATTTTTTCATTTGCTGATTTCTCTTCTGAAAAATTCGAACGTCCGAAAATGCACCTTAATTTTGACTCTTAAAAACATGTCACATTTCCAACGAAAATCACTCAAAACCGGTCGAAATTTTGGAGTTTTTAGGTGCATAGTGTCCAGTTATTAGTGAAGACTGTGGGCTGTGTTATTGAATGCAACTATTCTTTGTACAGTATATTGTTTCAAATGATGTTTGTCACCGTTCCAAAGCACAGCAGGTGTACATGTATAAAAATGCATTTATCCAATGTTAGATTGTAGTTCTTCTCTCGTATGCTTTTCACTCCAGTGCCAGTCTAACTATTTCTTTCATTGCATTGTCCATAAGTAGACATTGAAATTATGGTTCTATTTTAGTTTGTGTAGGTTTTTTCAAGTGAAAATGGAAGCTGTACTAGCATTAGGGTCTTTAGCAGTAGTAGGGACTTTATTTTTTTTTGCTTTGTGTGTTTGAATGCTAAATCCAACAACTGTGATGGTCGCTTTATTTAAATGTCAATTACTTGAAAGTACTTTTGTGTTAAGTGTTTATAAAATAATTCATTGCATGGAAATGATCTGTAAAGAAATCATGTAATCTTCTGTATGAATGCATCTACTAGGGTATTTATTCAGGTTCTAGGTATCACCAATCGTCATAGCGATGCCCATCCCCTGCTATAAAGAAATCAACATATTATTAATCATTGTAGTTTTGACATCTTTAGAATTTCAATTTTGTGAATATTTTACTATGCAATACTCTACCATATGTTTGTAATTGTTATTTCTGCTGGATCTAAAATTTGAACTTCATGACTTTCTTGTAGGTGCTCTGTGATGGATTCGATATTGCTATATCAGCACAAAAACTCTTGAATAATAATTGAATAATTATAGTAAATATACAAAGTACAGGAACACAAACAATCAAATGCACTAGAAATCAGTAAGAGAATATGCATCTCATAGCATACAGCCAAATAGTGATGTCTGGTGTTTTGAAAAGAGTCAGCACATCCTGATCTATGGTACACACTCACCATATATCAATTTTAGTCATATTCAAAAAAAAAAAAAAAAAATGTGGTTAAAGTTAGCAGAATAAGATACACTGAAAATATTGCAGGATTCTACAAATCTATGTTACATGTAATTAGTCATGGGCACATTAAAGAAAAAAAATTATCAATCTTACCTGTAATAATAGTGAGATTTGATTTAAAATGCTAAAAAATCTTTTTGAAAATGTTTGTGATTGGAATGAAAGTGTTAAAATCAAAACGTAATGCTGCCAATGTTATTGGGGATATTGTGTTGCAAAGGAGACATTTTACTGATAATTTTATTTTTGAATCCTCTGCTTAAGATTCTATGAGAATAACGCCTGAATGAACTATGTTAGTTTTTTGAGGCTTTGCTGAATTAGAGCTACCAGTACCCAAACTATAAGCCTAATATACAAAACAATTAGTACATGTTTTGACCGTGACAGTATTTTGGGTATTACATTCATATGGTAGGTATAGTTTTGTGCAATGTAAAATAAAAAAAATACCAGCCCAGTGTGCATGACATTCTATTCCAGTCTGACCTTGTGACCTCTTGTTATAATATGCAAATGACTTCATTTGTGCTTACAGAGGTTATCCAAAGCCAAGATGAGGTATTCTGCAGTATCGCAGAGCTACCTGTTTTCGGCAAGTCTCATTTACTCTATTCTGTTGATCATGATTACATAGTTTTGTGAATGAGTTGTGCCATTACAAAAAGCAGTTAGACTAAAATGTAACAAATAATAAAAAAAAAATCATATTTACTAATGACATGATCTAAAGTGACTCAATTGTAGGATTTTTTGTGATATGAATGTATTTACCGGTAATAGAACATAGGAATACTAAAATCTGTTAAAGAAAGCCTACAAACAGTTCCATGATGGTCACTAGTGACTCTGAAGTTTTCATTTTGATAACATTTATTTTATTTCTACAATTTGCTTTAGGAATAACATGCAATGCGTCAGCCAATTACATTTATGCATACTTTACAGTATTCTTGTGATACTCTGTCTAAAGAAATAATTTACATTATTGAAAACTTTCATAATTGTGTAAATTGAGCTGTGCCAGTGTCATGAAGCTGCCATAATTTCATTTATTAGTTCTGCATTCAGTTATATAACATATAGATTGTCAGATGAACTACTTGGTGTTGAGCTCATATAACTGGACACATCCCGTATTTGCTAGTCGTCCAATGCTTTGTGTTTTAATTTTGCTATTATCTGCTGATAAATAAAATCTGCTACGTTGAATATAGAAATAGAACTAATTTGTTTCACTGTCAAATCTTAGCATTGATAACCCAGTGAATTTGATCGAATAGAAAATACTGGAATCAATTTACAAATTAATGCTGCATTTACAATAACATTTTCCTCCCTGCTATATCTTACAATAGTGTCACTAAATCTTTTCTTAAACTCTTGCTTAAAAGTCTTGCATACTGTACACTGTAAAATGCTTTGCAAACAAATGCATCATACTCGCCAGTCAGTCTGTCTGTCTGTCTGTCTTGTCTGTCTGTGGTTATCTAAGGTTTATTTAGTCTCTAGCTCTGTGTCAAATGATCAACATATTTGGTAAGTGGGTCACAAACAGAATTAGTGTGTTAAGTGTGCACTGGGATCTGATGTTTTAGTTGAACAGACATTCTCTGTAGGTGGGCACAGGGGTCTGTTTTAGATGAACAGACATTCCCCGTGTTGACGGCTGGTGTGTAAGGTGTGCACTTGGATCTTACGTGTTTGGTGACGGACATTCTCGTTGGGTTGACGGTTGGTGTGTCAGGTGTGCACTTGGATCTGATGTGTTAGATGAACAAACTTTTTCTGGGTTGCCAGGTGTATCCTTGGATCTGATGTGTTAGGTGAACAGACATTCTCTGTGGGTTAACGGTGCCTTAGGTTAACAGACATTCACTGTGGGTTGACAGTGTGTTAGGTGAACAGACATTCACTGGTTTGACAGTGTGTTAGGTGAACAGACATTCACTGTGGGTTGACAGTGTGTTAGGTGAACAGACATTCTCTGTGGGTTGACAGTGTGTTAGGTTAATAGACATTCACTGTGGGTTGACAGTGTGTTAGGTGAACAGACATTCACTGGTTTGACAGTGTGTTAGGTGAACAGACATTCACTGTGGGTTGACAGTGTGTTAGGTGAACAGACATTCTCTGTGGGTTGACAGTGTGTCAGGTTGGTGTGTACATTTGGATGTTAGACTCACTGACATTATACAACTAATAATACTCCCATCTTCCTATGTGTGAGCGCTTTACTACCAATACATTGATATCTGCCTTGCTGTATTTATGTGCTTATACAACAACCTCTGCTTGTTTATTATTTGCAGGTGGTCAAAAAAATCATGTATCATATTTAATGTTTTATTGACATCAATTTGTAAATGTTCCTGTAGATGATTTTCCATGTATCGTATTTGCTCCATTAGTAGCGCATGCTTTCACATAAAAACAGGCCTGTGTCGTTAGTCAGCCTATGTCATTTTTTAATCATCCTGTGTACAGCAAATACAATTTTGGGGTTCTATGGCAAATATGGTATATGACCTTCTATTAGAGATGCACTTCTATTAGAGCAAATATGGTATATGACCTTCTATTAGAGATGCACTTCTATAAGAGCAAATATGGTGTATGACCTTCTATTAGAGATGCACTTCTATTAGAGCAAATATGGTATATGACCTTCTATTAGAGATGCACTTCTATTAGAGCAAATGTGGTATATGACCTTCTATTAGAGATGCACTTCTACTAGAGCAAATATGGTATATGACCTTCTATTAGAGATGCACTTCTATTAAAGCAAATATGGTATATGACCTTCTATTAGAGATGCACTTCTGTTAGAGCAAATATGGTATATGACTTTCTATTAGAGATGCACTTCTATTAGAGCAAATATGGTATATGACCTTCTATTAGAGATGCACTTCTATTAGAGCAAATATGGTATATGTCCTTCTATTAGAGATGCACTTCTATTAGAGCAAATATGGTATATGTCCTTCTATTAGAGATGCACTTCTATTAGAGCAAATACGAAATTAGGAAACTCATTTTTTGTAGCATCTCTCACAATAGAACCCTTGATGGTCTCATTAATTTGGATGAAAATAGTAAATTTCTATCTCTACAGTAACAGGTACAAATGATTGATACATTTTCCTTCGCCACTGTGGTGGCTTAGTTTGTATCCTGCCACAAATGTATTAAATATGATAGATGGTGTTTATGGCAGCAGTACTCACATTGCAGCAATTACACGCTTAGCATTTGTAATGTTGCACACATTTATTCATTTAACAAAAAGAATTTTTTTTTTTGTCAGTGGTGTTATACTCAGTTTTCACCGATGTTAATGTTGGAGATAATAAAAACAGGTTTATAAAGCTATAGTTAATTCCAACCCACATTGTTTTTCATTGTAAATACATAACTTGCATATAATGTTTATAGTGATGTGTGTTGGTTTTTTTGTCAGTGTCACAGACATATGCTACTGAATCTTTCTGAAATTCTTACATACCACCTAGCATTGTCTTTTGTTAGTTTATTTGTAGTTCTTGTTCCCTGAAAGGTCGCACATCCTGGTACTTATGGGGGTACAGACTCCATTAATGAAAAATTTTCCCTTCCTCAATACAAGCAGTTGTGTTATAAAACAATGAATAGAATGAATGTACTTTTAGTTTCACTACTGAGTGCGTTTTTACATACTGCTCAATTATAGGGATACTGTTGTTTAGGGGAAAAAACTGGAATCTTGTTAGTTTAAGAGTCTTTATGCTGAATAATTACATCTTTTTTATAATGGTTCTTAGAATGACTGTTCTGTTACCACATATCACTCGTCAAATTTATGTGGTTGAAAAAAGTAGGAATATTTGATCAGAGGCCAGCACCTTTTAAGAAAACATAAGTTTTGTAAAACATGGCAACATTTTGGAGAATATGCTGCTAAAGGACAATATTATCCGCCACCCACCCACCCCCTCCACCCCTCCCAGAAGGTACCAGAGTGTGCATGCTTCCTCTTCTACTAGAAATAAAATATTTTACAAAAGTTATAGAATCATCACTGCATCTGGATACCTTTCTTGTGATCATTTTAGGATGAGAATGAAGTCCCAGATGACGAGACAATCAACCAGATGATAGCTCGAACTGAAGATGAATTTGATATGTTCCTGCGTATGGATATTGATCGTCGACGTCTGGAAGCACGTGCAGTTAAACGTAAGCCTAGATTGATGGAGGAGGATGAATTGCCGGGATGGATTCTTAAGGATGACATTGAGGTAAGAATGTACTCAGATAATGGTAAAGATACACGAGTAATGAAATTTTGTCCCATAGAAACATGGATGGATGTATTCTGTGATACATGTAATATGGTTCTCAGAAATGAGTAACTAATGTCACACGTATACATGCAACAAAATGGAAATCTGTTTCCGTGGATAATTGACCAGAAATATTTGTATTGGGGGAATACTATGCAATGACTATTCTTGTATGGAGTTTTGTTTCCGCCATGATAAACTATAACATTCACTGTAAATATGGTAATGAGGAATATAGTAAATAGCTCTTTGAGGTGATAAAACATTATTGTAACACATTTTGTATCAATATGGTAGTAAATTATTGGCAACTGCTTGTTCTTCACTTCTAGATAAATAGTACTCTGTTTGACTTGCTGAAGTCTATCTCACTGCTGTCAATGTTTTGTTTCACAGGGCTAATTTAAGTCATCAGTGATGACAAGTATTGAATGTATCGTAAACCTAGTCTAAAATAATGCTACGAAATAGAAATTATTTGTCAAATGTCTAGTTTATAGGTGTGTCACTGAATCCTTGCTGTAAACCATTATGATACAAATGTTTTTTATTTCTTTGTTGGCAGGTGGAAAGACTGGCATTTGAAGAGGAAGAAGGCAAGATATTTGGTCGGGGATCCAGACAGAGGAAAGATGTGGATTATAGCGATCAACTTACAGAAAAACAGTGGCTGAAGGTAGGTCCCACATTCACTGCATTGAACAAGACTAACTTCATTGTAAAATATCATTGTAACAAATCTCCTCCTAGGTTAGTTTTACCTTAGTAGTGTGACAAGGTAGTTTTTATTACATTCTATTTGTCTTCCATCCAACACTAGGCGATTGAGGAAGGAAACCTTGATGAGATTGAAGAGAAAAGACGCTATAGGAAGTCAAAGAAACATAAACATCGGCATGATGATGATGGGGGGATGAAGAAAGAGAAAAAGAGGAGAGGACGGCCGCCCATTGAGAAGTTGTCGCCTAATCCACCCAAACTTACAAAGCAGATGAAGAAGCTGGTTGATGCTGTTATAAATTACACTGATAAGTATGTTATTCACAGTGTTATGCAATATGATGTGATGGTGGTATTAGTATGTCTCCCTCCACTTTTAGATAGGGATTCTGATTCATGTAAGCCAGGATTTGATTGGCCAACAAATTCAATATGATGCATCATGATTGGATGGGTGCTAGGGCTGGATAGTCTGTCAGGTGCAGTCTGACAAATTGCTGGTAATTTAAACTTTGTTGTTTTCTTGGTCATGTCTATGACAGTATGTCATCTGAAAAGTTCAAGACATCTTGTATATTTGCTCCATTAGAAGAACATCTCAAATAGCACATAAACCAAAAACTGCATTTATTCTAAGCAAGATCATAATAATGACTTATTATCACCATAGACACGCCTCTGTCATTTACCTAAGCACATGTGCTATTAATGTAGCAAATACAGTATAATAACTATGCGTCATGACTGATACATTGTAGTGTATTGAGCAAACCTGACAAGATCATGTGCATTTTTCTTCAGTTGTCACGTGTGTTCCTTATTTGTGTTATTTCAGTAATGGTCGGCCACTGTGTGGAGTGTTTATGCAGTTACCTCCAAGACGTGAATTGCCGGATTACTATGATATGATAAGGAAACCAGTTGATTTTAAACGTATCAAGGAGCGTATAAAGAACCACAAGTATCGATGTCTTGATGATTTAGAGAGGGATGTCATGTTGTTGTGTAAAAATGCACAGACTTATAATGTGGAAAGTTCTCAAGTAAGAAATGTTACATGTTGATAAACGTATTATCAGATTCTGTAATGGGTTTTAATTCTGCTGTGAAAGTACTTAAAGAACTCATTGTTTCTCTGTTAAATTTGTAAATTTAATTAATACTCAGAGAATATATTGAAAATATCAAAATCAGTGAAATAATGCTTTCCCAGTAATATTCAATTTTTTTTCTACATAATGTTCAATGATGAATTTTTTGCCGCATAAACTTCACCAGTTAACTTTCTACCCAAGGTATAACCCCCTGATCTGATACAATTTGACCTGTTGTAATACACATGATTTTAGCATGAGATTTTTTAATCAATGATCATTCAGATATTGTATTAAATTAAGATTAACACCTTGTTTGTTATTAGATTTTTTTGACCCCCTAACTTATTATTTGCATATTGCAGGTGTGATTATTAACATGTTGGGTGTTGGTGGAAGTTGCATTCTGAGATCAGTCATCATACATAGAAATGATTGATTTACTAGATTTGTGTAAATTGCAGAAAATATGTCCTTAAAATGTTTACTTTTAATTATTTCCTGCATCAGAATGTACATAATTCATTAATGCACATGTGGATTTACAAAATTTAGTCTCTGGAACAATGGCAAATTGACTGTCACATGAATGTCCCATGACTTCAATAAAGTTGTATGAATGACTTCAGAATGCCACTGTCTGCAGAGAACCTCCAAAAAACTACGTCATCAGGCAATGTATAAGAAACAATAATGAATGCTAGTAACCTAATTTATTTCTGCATTGTTTGTTTTAGATTTATGAAGATTCTATTGTTATACAGTCTGTGTTTACTAACGCTCGTGAGATGTTAGAACATGGTAGTATGCCGTCTCCTGAATCAGCGTCCCGTGACAATAGTGATGATGACGATGAGGATGATGATGATGATGACGATGATGGTGATGGAGATGATGAAGATGGTATCGGATCCGATAGTGAATGTAAGTAATAATCATTATGTTTGATTTCCTACCCATTAAAGCCATGCAGAATGTGTTTGACCTGCCTGTGCCACTGTGACACAACTGTGCCATCATTTGTGTGGCAACGTAAAAAAATCTTTTCCTAAACTTGAATTTCTGAATTAACTGCAATTTACTTTCCAGCTCGCTGTTCATCTGTTCGAGTGAAAATCAAGATTGGTAAAAGTGACAAAAGCAGCAGGGGCAAAGAAAAAGAGAAGAAAAAGCGTAAACCAGGTCGGCCTCGTAAAGCTGTTGTCAGCGATGATGATGATATGAGTGATACCAACGATAATAATCCGAGTGAACCTGTGAGTACATCACCATACATAGCCATAAATTTCACAATTTGATGTTTGAAATAATTTCGTAAGTCAGATTTTGTTTCATAAAAATATCTTTCAATGCTTGCAACCATTCATTAGGTGAGTGATGACTACCATATACTAAGTGACGTCATCTAACTTATGGGTACAATCATTTAAACTGATGGTGATGTTTTTTTCTTTTGCAGGCTGACTCTGAGAATGATTCTGATGATGCCACACCTGATTCTTCTAGAGCTTCTTCGCGTGTAGCGTCACCAGCACTCGGACATAAAAAACGGTGAATGCTTTAGGATTTTGGAAAATTCTTAGCAAGAGTAGAAGCTGATAACTTCTGATGTCTGCACCCAAAGTTGTATCCACACCAAAAGCTTTTTTGTTATACTTTCTGTAAATCTGCAAGTTCATATTGGGAAGTGAATTTGAAAATTCACTGTATAGCCAGTCAGGGCTTTCACTAAAACTTTTCAAGCAGTCATTTTCCTCATAACACGCTTACTATTTTTCCAAACTCAAAGTTCCTCTTATCCAAAACTAAGGCATTATATTTTTGCCACATTTGTACATCAAACTTTGTCAGAAAATATTCTGCAAGCATCTTTCTCATGACATTGTTTTTACAGACCAAAGTGTAGTGTATGGTGCTGATGTGAACAGTCGGGTGGCTTACTAATTAATAGTATAGTCTGTAGATCTCTATGTGTTTATTTATTATTCTTCACATGTGAAACATGCAGCCACAATCTCCCGTTGTAAAGAATCTTTTTGTTTGTTTTTAAACTGCCAGTGGTGTTCATAATACTGCAATGTCTCAAAATAGTATTAACATGTGATTATTGGCAGCTCAGAAAAATTACCTACATTGGTATTTTGGTCCTAGGATGACGAGACCTTCAATATTAGATAAAATGATCATGGTAGTAATGTATAAACTTTTTTTTATTGGAAATCAATTTATTTACCCAAATTTTCAGATCAATGAATGAAATAAGCCAATATTAGAGTTCATTTCTGCTGGAATTGTATTTCTGAAAATGTGTACTGTTGCTTTTTTCCATATTTTGTAATCATAGAGCATTGTCATGAAATTATAGCATTGATATCAGTGTTAATGATGACTTTATAAACTATTGATGCATTTTGATTTCTATCTAAGGTATGTAGGAAATATTAGTGGTTTTGTAGTGATTGATTTAAAACATTTCTTTTGAAAGTAATAAAATTGATATGGGTATTTCATAAAGAGTGTTGTGTGTGATTTTTGCTGTGTATGTTACAATTGCCATGTGGTGACATCGCTGTACATGTCCCTACTAGACACCTAGAAATTGTTGCTACCCAATTTAAAAATGACATTTCCAAATCTAGATCTGAATGTATGATGCACACCAAACTAGACTCCTTTACTCATGTTGCTATAACCACAATAGACAGAGTGGGGGTCAAGACTGAATATGTGATTCCAGCATTTCATACAAATATCACTTTCAAATAATATTCATGAGATACACGTTTGTCTATGTCATAACCTCGTTAAAGGTCATTAGCATATTGTGTACACAGTTGCGCATGCTTTGGGCCCCTTTTTCTGTATTTCACAATGCATGGATCATCACAGCGAGGTCAATTAAAATTTATGTTTTATGCATCGTCAATGAGGTTTCACCACATTGATGGTGCTGAACGTTGCCTTCATATTCGAAGCCCACACATAAGCAGCGCTACCAGATATATACAGCAGCTAACAAGACAGCGACTGCTGAGGATTTGTACACCCTCCCACTGTGTCATACGCTGTAATATGCAATGACAATCTTGGTTTCCCCATAACTGTGGATGTAAATTTCTACCGATGTATAGCCTGGACGGGGATTGAATCCCGCTATTAAACCCTTATTTGTTGCGTAAATATAAGGAATATTGAATAACATCTTTTAATACAAAGTAAAATATTTATTTGAAAATAGAATTTCCATATTTCAAAAATGATATCTTGAATCAAATGTACAGCACTCACCATAGATGAATAATCCCCACAATAACACTCTTGACAAACTGAAAGCTGGGAATGTCACAATTACAAATGGTCATTTTCAAGGTAATTGTAAATTTATAGTAATTATTACTTTATTGATGTAATTAAATTTATTGAACAATATTTATAAGTTGGTTTCAATTCAAGCATTACTGTCTTTAAACTCATTAGCTGAAATTCCATTACTCGTTGCCTTGCGATGTGGTTTGGTTGGTGTCTGCATTCCCATTGACAAGGCGATGTCAATT